GACATATCAAGAAACAGACAACTCAAAAACGTGATAGAATTTCAGCCTCACAGAGAGAAACACACTTTGCTACATACAATAGGATTTTCACACCCTGCTGTAGAAACAAACAAACATAAAAACAGGTGAAGAAGCACCTACAGTACAAGAAGGTACCTATCAGATGCACAGGTAAATCCCACTGGAGAAGGTATGGCCAACTTCATTAAATTGGGCAATTCCATCAGTGGCTGGGCGAGTTTAATGCCAGACAATGTGAATGGACCTTGGTAAGCAAACTTCACCATCCCAACAACCTCTAGCTCACCATCTTTGGAGTCTTGGTCAACAGGCATCCGCGGCCCTGAGCCTTCCGCTGGACCTTTCAGGGGAATTTCTGAAATATGCCATCTAAGCTCCCTCTCTGCCCGGTTTAGCACAGCCTTGGGTGAAACATTGAGCAGAGTGGGATCCACAGGAAGCTTAACAATGAATGTAACATTGCTCAGAGGCTGGGGTAGCATTGGATTGGATGCGACTGTATCATCACTGAGAGTAATGTCCCACTGTGGCGCTTCACTAGGCGATCCTCAAAGGGGAGGCGGAAAGCCCGCAGGAAGCTGTACTTCATGAGGGAATGGGCTCCTCTTCGACACAGTCCTGACATGGAACAATCCATTCTGTAGGTTACTCAACACATTACTCTGCAATGCAGCCCTCTTCATTCCTGATGTGCCCTCAAGACAAAATGAGAACTCAGTCTCCTTGCCCGCTGCCTTATTCAGTGGCAAGGTCCGCAGGAAGATTGTACCCTTCAAGCCAACACGCACAAGAATAGACTCCTTGAATTCTGCATTGATCTCCTCAGCAATAAATAACTCAGGAGCAGTCATTTCTGTACGCTTGGTCACCAACAGATTTTCCAATGGAGTACCAGCAGCTGCATTTGGTGGCTTCCCACTTGTTAGCCTAGCAGCTCAAGACCAGTGGACGGTCCTGTCCTTGTGATCCTTCTTGTTGTCGTAACAAACTCAGAAGCATCCAGCCCACCACCAAATGGTATGCCATTGAGCCTTCAAACGCCTCAGCAAGTGAAGCCTCATCATTGCCAAACTCAATGCCACCATAATCACCCTCAAACCCTTCAACTCCAATAAATGTCGGCTTAGTCGCCTCAGCTGGTGGTAAAGTCGTGACCTCCAATCCAGCTAGCGCAGCTGCAGGATCAGCAACCACAAGGGCAGTCTCCTTGTTCTTCTTGAATCCACCCACCAATGCCTCCTCCGGCTTGTTGTTAATCAGGTCACTGGCTGCGAAGGGATCCTTCTCCACAGGTGCTGCCTCCTCAGGTGGTGGCTCGTCCCCAGTAGCAACAGTGGTTGCAGGGGCGATGTTAGACGAGAATTCGTCACCAGCCGCGAGCGTCTCCTGGGAAGCTCGAAAGAGGCGCCTGAGAAGCCCTCCCTCGCAACGTGGCGGTCCTGCGCGAGGTGCTCGACGGCGGGCCAGGGATCGCGCGCGCGGGCCCGGGCTTCGGCTTCGGGGAGGAGTTGACCATGCGCGCGAGGTTGTCGCCATGGATGGTGGCGAGGATCTGGGAGAGGCGGACGGAGCCAACGCCGTGGAGGACGAGGTCGAGAGCGAGATAGACCTCGGGGCATTTGCGGTGCACCTTCGGGGTGACGTCGACGCCACGGCAGGCTGCGACGACGACGGAGACGGCCTGGTTGACGGGCGTCGGCGACGGCGAAGGCGTTGACAGCGGGGGCGGCATGGTCGGAGCCTGCGGTGGTGACCCCAGCACGTAGATGGAGTTGACGAGGCGGTACACCACGCGGTACTGTGACTCGACGCCGACAACGAGCTGCCCCGACGCGGCGGCGAGCGGGTCGTCGCCGATGGCGTCGAGCGAGGCCGAGGAGGCGGAGGATGAGGAGGACTGCTGCTTGCCGCGTGCGAGGTGGAGGCGCGCGAGGCGAAAGGCGGAGACGGTGGCGAGGGCGCGGGAGACGGGGAACCAGGACCGCGTTTGAAGTAGGATGTCCGGGCCGTTCACCGGCTGCAGGGAGATCGCGAGGCACGCCATGGCGCCGCGGACGCCAATGCGAGGAGGAGTGCTCCGTTGCCGCGGCGGATCTGTGGACTAGGGCTCGGGCGCGGATCTGGGGAGCAGTGGGATCGGGGAGTGGGGTGCGGCGTGCGGGGTGTAGGAAGGGGAAGGAGACGGGTGCACGGGAGGATGGGTGGACTCGGTGTAGGGACGGAGAGCCTGAGTTGCTGGGCAGTCCCAAAGCATGTTTTTCTATTTATTTATATTTTTTTAATAAGATTAAGTACAAGTTCGCCCCTTCTACTCTCGTTTTTCGTAATTTTATTTAATTCCCGGCTATAAAACCGTCTGACTTTAGCACGTTTTTTTTCCTATAAAAACCATTTAAAATTGACCCTAGAGCCGTTGAAAACCACTTCTCTGTCCATTTATCATAGTCGTTTTAGCAAGATAGAGATTAAATGAACGTGGACAGAGGAAGAATCTAGGTACACGGCACAAGCTGTGAACATGGACAGAGGTACCGGCTACCACAGCGACACTCAAAGCAGCACAGAGGGAGTAGGTTTTAATAGTTGGGGTGACAAAGTTAGACAAAAACAAGAGTTGAGAGACAAAAATAGAATTAATCAAGTATTTTTAATTTTTTAGATATTTATGAAAAAATTTATATATTAGATTTACTAAGTGATAAAATTCATATGTATTAAAATATAATTTTCAAATAAATTAACTTTGGAACCAATGTTTTGTAAAAATATAATCTATCTCATCGATATCTATAACTTTGATTTGGGTTATTTCACCGTCCGAGTTCATTCAAATAATTTGAAAATTTTGAATGAAAAAATATGAAAACTTCAAACAGAATTTTAGGACCATATATAATTTCAAATGAGATAGACGTTAACTACAGAGTTGTATATCTCATCAATATCTAAAACTTTAGTTTTGGTAATTTCTTCCTCCGAGTTTGTTCGAATAATTCGAAATAAAATAAATTTCAAAATAAAAGAACTTCAAACAGAATTTTAGATGGTAAATGATTTCAAATAAAGAAGTTATTAACTAGAAAGTTGTATATCTCATCAAAATCTATGAGTTTGAATTTTTTCATTTCTATGAAGTTTGAACAATTCAAAAAACGATTTCAAAATATGATAACTTCGAACAAAATTTTGGGCCATAAATGATTTCAAGTGAAAAATTCATCGACTGCAAAGTTATATATCTCATTAAGATCTACAAGTTTGGTCTTGATCATTTCTCCATCAGAGTTTGTTGGAACAATTTCAAAAAATTTTGAAATTCAAATTATGAGAACTTCGAACAGAATTTTAGGGTCCTAAAATTATTTCAAATGAAAAAGTCATCAAATACAAAGTTGTAGATCTCGTTAAGATCTATAGCTTTAATTTTGCTCATTTCTTCATCCAATATATAAAAATCCAATAATGTGTAGATAAATACTTTAATACATATAGGTATTTATCAATCAGTAAATCTAAACATATATTTTTTTTATAAATGTCTAAAAAACTAAAGTTTGATTAAGTCCATATTTGGTCTCCCAACTCTCGCTTTTCTTTTTGGCACCTCAACTATCAAAACCATTCAATTTTAATCCCGAGTTGGTTTTAAGTGGTTTCATATGACTCGTGTTAAATTTAAATGGTTTTGATAGTTGACGTCCTAAAAGTTAGACAGTCTTTGTAATTAGGGTTTAAAATTAGACAAAGATAAAAGTTGTGGAAGCAAAAATGGAGTTATATTTTAATAACCTTTTGTAATCCATATCTATATATCTTATATTTTCCATCTCCACTTGCATTCTATCATGCTATACAAAATGTCCGCTTCAAAGATCCACTAACACGTAATTATGATGGTACTACTAACACATGTAATTATGTCTTTATTCAAGCTATTCACGTTAGCAAGTCGCATCATCTACTAACGTACATTTAGTTTGTCTATATCGGTAAGTGCTACACTGTGATTCCGCAAAGAACGCCCAAGGTATCTTCTAGTTTATGTGATAACACGCCCAAAAAGTTATTATGACCTTTGTAATTTTTAAATGTTTGATCTACTCTCTCCTTTTCAAAAGTTACGGAAGGCTCACTAACGAGATCATAACATTTGGGTATGTTAAGCCTCGAGTCCGAGTGGTTCTCGAGCGAAGACCCCCCGACCGACCCCTCTAGGATCGCCGCCGGGGCTCAAGATATACCCATCTGCATACGCGCTCACATGGCGCACCCTATGGAGAAGAAACTCGGTCGAGCCTGACTCCGCCACGACTTCCGCTTGGGGCTCGGGGGCTTGCCTGAGCCCCTAGGCTCCAGGTCTATGCCAACACTTTGGGCTGGCCCTTGGCTCCTACCCAGCAAGCTACGCCTGCCAAGGCCTGGGCGTAAGAAGACACGCCCTGAGCTACCGAGGCTCGGGGGCTCCCCCGGCGATGCTCCTTGGGCACGGCATTGCTGGCCACTTTCTTGACAAGGTCACGCACGGGGCATGACACAAGAAGACAAAGCTTTCCAGCGGCCTCCGGGGCTCAAGGCCCTCAGGCCCAGCGTGTCGACCTCAAGCCGACCTCCTTCTTCGCCAAGAAGACTCAAAGGTACACCTAGGGAGTCTCTAGCTTAACGGCCATGTACACTGCATGCAGAGTTAGAATAGAGCGGCCTGAACGGCACCCAAGGCTTCTTGCTCTATCACACCACAGTCCATTGACGTCGCTTATAAGGCCCTCCCGAACTCCAAACAGAGCATGTAGACCCCAGAACTAGTTCCCTAAATCGCCATGTACTCGACCTATCTCAAGTTATATAAGGGATAAGGTCGGACCTATGGGGACGATCGAGGGAGAAGATAGATCATTCCATTCCTTGGCCTCCGCCAAAGATCTGAGACCAAGGCAACCCACCAAGGGCACCGAGAGCTCCTCCACCGTGATCCCGTCATCTTGCTCCTCTCTCGACGAGGGAAGGCACCATTGATGGTGAGGCAACCTTAGGATTAGCACCAAGCTAACCCCTACCAAATCTCTCTCTATAACCCCTGTTGTAACCCCTAATTTTGGGTGCTTTTGAGTATAAGGATCATTAGTCTGCTTTGGATGTAGGGGCATCGATTGGCTCGAACTGGATAAATCGTTGCATCCTCTCTATGATTCTTGTGTTATTGAGTCCACCCGAGCCACTCAAGACCCGACTCTAACACCGACTCAAACAATAATGCGTGTTGCGGTTCTGACCCTACAACAGATGGCGCGCCAGGTAGGGAGCAGCGTCAAGTGCGATTCTAGCTCTACGGTGGCTGGAGCCACCCGCCTCATCGCCGAAGCAAGCAAAGATCGCCCCAAGGTCTGGGCCCCACGCAGATGCATGGCTGGGGTTAGGCACACCCTGTGGCTTCCCCGAGGCCTCGAGGATCGGGCAACACCGACTGCTAGTACCATCACTGTGGTGGGCCCTCCTTATCGTCATCGGGACGGGAGGCAACGACCGGCACATCGTGGTCCCCTCCCCTCGTTAGAGGGGTGTAAGGACTCTAGCGGCATCCCTAGAGTCCTTGCACCTTCTAGGGAGGGGAACGCGATAGATGCCTCTAGCTAGATGTCGGTCGCCGCCCTCCTTTGCTAGAGTCCTTCCACCCTCAAGAAGAAATTGCCCAACAGCACCAAGACAAGCTCACCCAGAGAGAAGCATCGCACTTCATCATTGCCATCACTGCCGAAGAGAAGGAGCTAGAGGAAAGGATTGAAGACGTTATGTCCCCCGGGGCTCCCCTTTATAGCCTAGACGATGCTCTATGAGCGGCTTCAGGCCCTTCAATCAACCATCAGTGGCCTGAAGGGGCCTTGGGGAACCGACCGGGTGTCTCTTCAATCTCCACAAAGATGCCTCCAAAGCGGTTATGTGATGATGGTCGTGGCAAAGAAAGGCATAGTCGGGGAACCATCGACAACAAGTCAAGTCTTCGCTCCACTTTCCACCCACGCTGCCACTCCACTCCACGATGCCTCCTCGTGGGACTTGAGGGATCTCGACTCCCCTCAGCCCACCGGCTATCATCGATAGCTTGGATCCATGCACACCAAGTGCCGCTGCCCTCCTCCTCTGCCGGATTTGCTCCATGTGGCCCCAATGTCCCATCTCCTAGAAGTGGGGGGACGCAGTGGGTGCACGCCTTTAACTCCTCCATTAGGCACGATGGCCTAGACGCCATGAACCACCTTTGCAAGACGTTAGTGGAAGGGACATGCCCAGAAGCCGCCACTCCTGCTAACAGGAGGCCCCCACGACGGCCTCGGGGGGATGCGCGTGTAACACCCCCTGTTACGCCTTAATCAAAATATTAAACCATGTCGGGAGCATCATGTTTATGTATTATTGCATGTGGTAAATGAGAAATTAAATTTTATTGCACTAATTCTCAAATTGAGCTCTAATTTATTCCTTGTCCAAGTTGTCCTTCCAAAGACGTCATCTCTCTCCACGTGAGAGCTCCTTAGCCACAAAGTCAAATGATAAATTATTGTCATTCACTAATTATTAGCATACCACTTGGCAAGATTTATATCTCCATCAATCTCTCATGACGCGCCACCGTCATCTCTTGTTGTTCTAATTATCTCGCCTTTACTTCGCTTGCTAATCACCTTGCAAAATTACCAAGCACGACGCTACCGTCAGCCGCCATAGTGTGTCGCTTTACGCCACGCATTTATATCACGCACAAGCTCAGCCCGCTAAGTACTCCGCTAATTAACTTTTCACTGTTTTGCAAATGAAGGTCGCACTTTTTCCACACACTACACATGGTAGAACATGAAAACACTATTCGCAGAGGGAAACACGGTTCGATGCTTGATCCTTTCCTCACGACAGCTTTGTAGCATTGAAGATTTTCCACACGGTAGGCCTCGAAGCCGCCTAGAAAACACCTGTTCATCCGATTTTAACACCTGGGTCACACGTAGACACTCATCTTGTAGCATCAAGAAACTCGTAGCTCGCAGAAAGCAC